AGAATGCATCTCCCGAGGAGGAAGGAGGCTGTTTAATATTATGCAAGTTTTCTGTAGCCCCCAGTTTGCCCTTAGCCCTCTTCTTTATTACAAGGGGCCTAATTTTCAAACAAAAATTCTTCTTTCACCAATTTCATCAATAATGTGTTTATGTTCTACAAACAATTAAACATTTTCCATTATGTTGTTGAAGTTGTTGAAATTAAATAGTAAGGGGATCAGTTTTTGCCTCAAGTTATATTGGGGTATTTCTCATTGAGTAGCCCCTTGAGTATTTAGGACAGATTTGAGAATGAATGTCTAATTGCTACTGTTCTTATTTGAAGTCATGCAAATACAAGTAACTTCCTTCCCAGTTCTTTTCACGTTATAAGTAGATGAAAAATTAAATTGGTTTCAAGAGCAAGGATTTTACAAAGTGGGAAAAATTAATTAGGCTATAGCTTAATATCTACTCACTGTAAATCCCCTTTTTCTAAAGAAAGGTTCCTCGGTTGATTGATAACTGTTTTACTTTGAGTTGTACTATGCAGCGTATATATTAGTACAAAATAAAGATTTGCTTCCGTCTTCCAATCTGTACCTGGGCATTTGTGAAAAGCAGTATTTTGGCCCCATTGTGAAAAAAAATTATGTGAGCAAGATTACTCATATAAATAAAGGTTTGCAGGGTTGGGCTACAATTGAGCTTTGTGAGATTGTGCCATCATCAATATTACTGACTTCATGTGCTAAATCATCATGAGTCAGGCCCCGCAACCCAAAATCATGAGATTAAAAAAAACTTTATTTGCCTTTTGTATTTTGTGCCTTTAAGGTTCATGTTTTCAAGCCTTTTTCCATAACCATGAAGGCTAGAATAAGTGAAAGCTTTCGGAAAAACAAATATAAAACTTGTTATAAAATGGTGAGTGTTGGGAACATTGCATTTTCTCAAAACAGGGTTAATTCTCATCCAGATGGCTTTGTTTTATATGTTTAAACTCCAAAAGAATCAAAAAGGGGAGGTTTTAGCACCACATTACTGATTTGTACTTTACGAACTAAAAATCTGATAAATCTAAAACTAGTAATAGATGGCCTGATCATGCAAGATGTTGTGCTCCCTCAGCTGCTGCTGCTCCGAGTTACACAGTTGCAATTCCCACTGACTGTCCCATGTCTAACAGAGTGAAAGTCTAATAAAATTTCTGGTGTGAAAGCATACTAATTGGAATAACCACACCTTCCACTGTTTAAGCATTCTTTTCATATGGTAATACTACAGGAGTGGAAGCCACTCAGCATCCAGGAGGAGCTGCTCAGCTACTGGCAGGATCAGGCTCTTACTTTTTGTAATCACCCCAGATATGCAGATCGTTAAGAAGTCGTCTAGAAGCATGTTTTTATGCTTAGAATGTATTAATGTAAAGCTTCTGACTTTCAGTAATAATAAATGTTACATTATGTGTGTTGGTGATGATCCTTGAAAGGTTTTGGTTCCATCAAATATACTTGGCAGTAAAACGAATAATCCTGCTCCCGTAAGTTTCATGCTACTTAGAGTAAAACTCTTATGCTTCTCTCCAAAGCAGAATTGAGAAATTTAAAAGATATGAAGTAGCAATATACTCCATTATATATTTTTAAAATTGCATTTGTTTGGGAAAGTGCTCACCTTGGAGTGACCAAAATGTGCATAGTTTTAACTGTTTTATACCACTACTGAGGCTTTGATTGAGGAAAACATCCCTGTTCAGGACAACACTTAAGTGTGTGACTAGAACAGAGATTGACTTAACCACATGCTTAAGTGCTCTTCTGAATCAGGCATGAGAATATTGAACAGGAGGGAATTTTTGTATCCAAAATGTGTGGTGTGGTTACAGCAATTTATTATGCATGCCAGGGAGGTAAAAAGGTGTGTAACACATCAGCATTTCAGATATGGATTCAGCTTCTCCACCAAAACATGACTGAACAAGCAGTTTAGCTGTAAAAGCTAAATCAACAAATAAGTTTAAAGGTAGTTTTGTCAGGTTCTTCAGATCCAGAATTTAAGTTATGTTAAAAGAAACAAAATGAAATGAATGTTTTTTTTAATTCCAATTAAATCTGTCTAGATTTTCACATTCTTTAGAGTGTTTGAAACACCAGTCATTATTGATAATTTACTGAGTCTAATGCATAATAAGACTCTTCAAATCAGTTATCAGTTGTATCATCACTAATATGAAACACGGCAACAAATGTTTAACTTTTTTTCCCCCTTTAAAATATATTCAGCTATCTGAAACTAAAGAAAAGTAATCCATTTTAAGGCAATCCATGCGTAAACTCCTTAATGACACTACATTAGGGTTACATCCTAGTTTTCCAGGACTTGGGGAGGGGGAGGAGCCTCCATCCTGTGTCCTGACAGATTTCTCAAACAGGAAATGCCCTGGATTTTTACAGAGCAAATGCTATAGCTCAGAAAGAGCCCTGATTAGTCTGTTTCATGATTGGTCCCTCCCCTGCATCCATAGCTAATTGGTTCATTCCTTTGCAGTCACTGCTGCCAGATCCCACTGACCTGGGCCCCAGCTCCTAGCCCTGGGGAGAGAGTCCTGCAGGAAGATGCTGTCACATCCTGAGTGCCCCTGCTGCAGGTACCTCCACCTCTCCCCTCCGTTTCCCCTCCCTGCCCCAGTTCTTCTCTCCTCCTCCCCCATAGTGTCCTTTTTGGCAACCTGAAATATGGTAACCCTATTCTACAAGAGTGCTGCCAAGAACAGGCCCTATGAAATGAAGATGGTGAAGCCATTGCTCCTGGAACACACACAGTATACATTTGGGGGTGGAAGCTCAAAAATTAAAGTCTAACTGATTTAAAAGTGTATTCAAAAGTTAATACTATGCCAGCAAAATAAGGAGTTATGCATCACAAAAGCAAATGTTATCCTAAAACCAGGGCCGGGGCAAGGAAGTTTCACGCCCTAGGCGAAACTTCCACCTTGCGCCCCACCCCCCCAGCCCTGCAGCAGCTCCCTGCCCCCTCCCTTTGCCCTGAGGCACACCCCTCTCCCCCGCGGAGCGGTGTGGCAGCGCCCCACCCCAGCTCACCTCTGCTCCGCCTCCTCCCCGAGCACGCCGCCCCCGCTCTAATTCTCATCCCCTCCCAGGCTTGCGGCGCCAAACAGCTGATTGGCGCTGCAACCTGGGAGGCGGGAGAAGTGGAGCGGCGACCGCATGCTCGGGGAGGGGGCGTAGGAACGCTGTAAAAAAAAATTGGGGGCACAGCTTTTTGGCGCCCCCAAATCTTGGCACCCTAGGCAACCGCCTAGTTTGCCTAAATGGTAGCACTGGCCCTGCCTAAGACTGGATAACAGTGTAAGTATGATAAGAGGAAAATAATTTTTCAGCAATGTATTCTGTTAATGTCATTTTAAATTAAAAGGCTAACAATTATCCCAACAGCCACTAAGGCTGAAAAACAGGATAATGAATTATCAAAGTACAAAAGCTAGTCTTAATATGTGAAACAACAGACCCTAGAAATAGCATACATTGACTAGAACTCTATAAACATCATAGATGTGTTAAAGCAGCGTTTCTCAAACTGGGGGTCCAGACCCAAAAGGGAGTCACAAGGTTATTGTAGGGGGTTCACTGTGTTACCCTTACTTCTGTGCTATTGCTGGTGGCTGCACTGCCTTCAGAGCTGGGCAGCTGGCGAGCAGCAATGGCTGCTGGCCAGGTGCCCAGCTCTAAAAGCTGCGCTGCTACCAGAGGGGGCCCAAAAAAAATAATTGAGAACCCCTGTGTTAGAGCATCAGAAACTTTCCTTATAGGAAAGGAATGTAATAGGTGCTACAAAATATATAATAGCCATCAATGCTTGGTAATTAATGAGCAATAATTAGGATACTTCAATACAAGCAAAATCATACCTAAGAGTAATTTAAGACTTTTTCCTGTACATTCTAAAGATTGTACTGTAGTGTAAAGCAAGGCACTCCACAATATATTCAGCTCACTTTCTGTTGTGATGGATTGAAATGTAAGATGTTAGCGGTGATACTGCAGGAGGGAAAATTATGATTTAGGCACGACAGGAGCATGTTGGGCTAAATTTCATGACAAGTGTCAACACTGAAAAATATCTTAATAGAAGTGACAGAAAGGTAGCAAGATGCATTATATGTCAAGAACATTCATAGAAGTAGTGAAATAATGGATAATTTTGGTATGAGTTGCAATGCAAATTCTATAGATTAGAATGAGAGAATAGTAAATGAGAATTAAGTTAGTGTCTGCTACAGACTATTAAATCAGGATGACAGGGTAGGTAAGATGAAGTGCTTGTGAATTAGATAAAATGTCAAGACCTGGAGCTCCTGATATTGCCAAGGTATCTTCCAGTCAATTTTATGTATATGAATGAGACAGAAAACCACCTACCATTCAAAGTAATATGAAATTAAAAATCTGTAGCTCAGTCTTAGACTTTTTTTTTATTATTATTTTTATGGATACAGACATTCTACCTCACCTCCATCATTCCATACGCCAACGTGAAGTCTGCTGAATTATTCCAAACCATGAACTGCTTTATTAATCTGGAATGCGTTCACACAACTCTAGAACTCAGCACCTGCTGCTACAAGGAACTATAGCATGTTTCTCAAAGAAAATCACTTACATGTAAAAAGGCCTCTGTGCATAGCAGAAATCATGCAATGATCCCAGGCCTGATAACAGGATACTTTCTCCTGTCTGAACTCAAGCCTATTTACACAATAGGAAGTCTGATAAGCACTGCAGAGAAACTGAGCTACAGTCTTGACCAATCCAGTCTCCTCTTCGCTAGCGAAAGTGAATTGAGAGCAACTGGGACACTAATAATTGAGATTCATCACTCTCTCTAAAGCAAGTCACAATTTGGCCAGTATTTAAGAAATCATCCCTTGATACAACAATCTTTCCCTCTATTGCCTCTAGTATCTAACCTCACAACCTTGTGTAATTGAGAAACTCACCAAGGGTTGCCTCCAACTCTACTTCAATACTGTCAAGGTTCTGGAATCTTCCTTGGTGTTAGTGGCACTGACATATGGATCTCCTCTTGGCCAGGTAAATCTGTTATTTTCAGTGGGAGATTTGCTGTGGATTGAGTGTAGTATATGAATAACTTTGTAGACCTGGTTCACAGACAATAATTAAAAATGCAAATAGCTCTCTTTACAGAAATAGCTTCACTACCACTCTCTAATTGATGGAAGACTTGTAGCAATATGTAATAAGACTCACTGAGACCCAATGCTACCAAAAAAAGTCAAATTGTTCTTGTGCGTTTGTTTTCAAGGGTGATGGCTGATTTGTAATAAGATTCAAAACAGCATTAACGGGAGGCATAGCCAAATGATTGAAACATACCACTGGGAGTCAGGAGATATGTATTCTGTTCCATACACTCGTGTGACACAAACTTCCCCCCCTTCCCCATTTGTAAAGTGAGGAAAACCATGTTACCCTTTTACATGGGAGATTAAACTTGTATAAAGTACTTTGAACTCCTCAGGTAGAAGGTGCTATTGAAGTGTAAATTAGAATGTTATTTCAACAAAAGTTAGCAGTATTGCTATCAGAGTTAAAATGAAGCTAGATAAACTTTCAGTTCACTTACTAAAGTGCTAAAACGTTTATAAATCTTATTTCAGGAAACAATGAAATAATAGGGGGGAAAAATCAGTATACAGGATATTTAAATAAGTAAGTCAGTGTCTACTAGTTGACATTTGCCAACTTTTCTTTTTAAAAAGACATCAACTCCAAGGTTGCATATATACTAAAGCCCCAGTATTTCACATAGTGAAATATCAGACTAAATGAAAATTCTGGCAGCTGAATTAAAAAAATTCCTAGGCATAATGTTGTGCTCAAGATAAAATTATTCTGATGAATTCCTACAATTCATTGCTGTTTTGAAGTGATGTGCTGGGGGGGGGGGGGGAGACTTGGTTTTGACCTGTGCTGAATTAAAACGGCAGCTTTAATATATAATAAATAAATAAAAATGGACCTAAAACTACTAGGAGATTAAACAAGTCCTGGTACAACTATAAGCACTGGTCAAGCATGAAAGGCTGTAAACAAAAAAACCCATCAGTCCCTCTGAAAAGAGGATCACAGTTAGGCACCTTTGCAATTTTACGTACAGGGAAGCTTTTAAAGCACCTTATGTTTACATCTTATTAGTAGACTAGGTATTTTGTTTTTATGGTCATTAGCACAATTATTGAAAGAAGCTTTTAATGAAGTTTAATGTAAATCTAAAGTGCTTTACTGCAGGGAAAATATGTATTCAGGACAACAGTTAACAAGTTCCAGAGTGGTAGCCGTGTTAGTCTGTAAAGACTAACACAGTTAACAAGTGTATCCAAATATTGGTTTGTCAGATTCTAGCAAAATGCATGAGACTGTCATTTTCTAGCAGCCCTGATGCAAATACCATCCCCTCTAGTCCTTAGAAAGAAGGTGACAGAGTGGCTTAAAGGATTGGTAATAGGATACTTCACCTTTAGGTCACAGTAGGTCATTGGTTCAAGTATAGCATAGGCTAGTAATGACTAAAAATAATACTCTCTGACAGCTATTTGGAGGCCTATGTGAAATTAATTGGTGATCTTAATACAATGCTTAGTAGACGTATATCAATGCTCAAAAAAGAAAAGGAAGACTTTGGCTGCCTTCTTAAAAATGATTACATAGAAATACTGGATGTGGCTTACCTAGGCTGAGATATGTTGACAAGGAAGTTTGTTTCCTAACTAAATTCACTAGAACTCTTCTCTGAATAAGGACAACAGGACTGAGCCCTTGAAGTTTATGTAGTATGTCAAGGGGAGTAAGTCACTATCTGTAACTTCTTAGACATCTACACTGGCAGTGAACAACAAAACTTTTGTCTTTCAGAGGTGTTAAACCTCCTCCGCCCCCTAAAAGGCAAAAGTTTTGCCACAATAAGTGCCAGTCTGAACAGCATGTTGTCGGCAGGAGCACTCTCCCGCCGACACGGAAACGCTGCTTATTGGGGGTAGAAGTTTTTTGTCAGCAGGAGAGCCGACAAACAGCGCCTACACTGTGCGACTTTTAGCGGCACAGCTATGGTGACACAGCCCTGTCATTAAAAGCTCTGTAGTGTAGACATAGCCTTAGGCCTTGGCTACACTGGCAATTCACAGCGCTGCACTTGCTGCGCTCAGGGGTGTGAAAAAACACCCCCCCTGAGCGCAGCGCGTGCAGCGCTGTAAAGCACCAGTGTAATCAGCGCCTGCAGTGCTGCACGCTCGCTCGCAGCGCTGCAAGCTATTCCCCTCGGAGAGGTGGAGTACTTGCAGCGCTGCGAGAGAGCTCTCGCAGCGCTGGTGGCGCGACTACACTCGCGCTTCACAGCGCTGCTGCGGCAGCGCTGTAAATCCACAAGTGTAGCCAAGGCCTTAGTATTGTCATAGCTTCACTGGTAGAAAAAAAGATAGTTAGTAATGCCTTTGGTAGCATGGAAAAATACAATTAAAATGATAAATACCTGGAAATCACTTCTAGGCTCATTATTATTTAGAATCTTAGGTGATCCAATCAAGGTAGAAACCCCGTTCCATTGGGCACTGTACAAATAAACAGTGGATGACATTCCCTGCCCTGAAGAGTTTACAATCCAAACAAAGAAAACAGACAGAGGTAGGAGGAAAAACAGAAGCACAGAGAATTGAAGTGACTTGCCCAAGGTAACACAGTAGATCAGTAGCAATGCCAGACCTAGACCTAGAACTCGGGTTTCCCAACTCCTGCACAAGTGCCCAGTCCACTAGACCACACTGCTTTGGGGGGGTATCTGCTTTGTAGCAGCCTAATGAAGCCATAATTCCTTTGGAAATGAGGAAAAAAGCATGTTATCTGCCACGTTGGCTGACATAGGGACTGCTGTTCTCAGGCAATCTGTAGGCTAGCTAATCAGGTGCAGGGCTTGAAAAATCCATTTGCCTGGGGTGAGCGTGAAGCCTTATGCATCAGTTTTTGAAGAATTTAAACTTTCATTTAAAAACAATTGCTTGTTACAATGACCTTACAAATGAGAACTGAACAGGCCTGCTGACCGGGAGCGGGAATCACCCAGGTGCTTAGGTGATTTAAAAGGGCCCAATGCAGCAGAGCTAAGGCAGGCTTCCTGCCCACCCTCGTGCCGTGCCACTCCCAGAAGCGATGGGCATGACCCTGCGGGCCCGGGGGGTGTCACTGCATGCTGCCACCGCCCTAAACGCTGACTCCACAGCTCCAATTGGCCAGGAACTGCGGCCAATGGGAGCTGCAGGGCCAGTGTCTGCGGGCAGCAGCGCGCAGAGAACCCCTGCCTCCCCACCCTGCCTACGAGCCGCTGCCAGAGGGGTGTGCCAGTCACTTTCGGGAGCCGCCTAAGCTAAACGCCAACTCCCTCACCCCCATCCCCTGCCCCAGCCTAGAGACTGCACCCCTCACCCCTTCCTGCACCCAAATCCCCTCCCAGAGCCCACACCCCCTCCCACACCCAAACTCTCTCCCAGCCCCTGCACTCCAACCCTCTCCTGCAGCCTGGTGAAAGTGAGGGTGGGGGAGAGCAAGCGACAGAGGGAGGGGGGATGGAGTGAGCAGAGGGCTGTTCAGGGGCATGGTCTCAGGGAAGGGGTGGGGCAAGGGTCTTTGGGTTTGTGCAATTAGACAGTTGGCAAGGACATTGGAAGCCCTGGCCATGCCAGAAGAGCACACCCAGCAGCTCGCTGGGCACCTGCCAGCGCAGGTGCAGCACCGCCCAAATGTCAGGTGGACTGTGTCCACGTGGGCGCAGCTTGTGCGCGCATGAGGGCGCATTGACTATTCTGCCCTGCAATTGCTGTCGGCGGGTCTGGGACTGATACAGTAGTGTCTTCCTCAGTCTGCTGACAGACAGCTTCAATGATTCAATTACTGAGCAAGCAGCAGCAGAGTGAAATTACAAGACTCTAGTCAGTTTTACAGTCACATTGTGGGCAGCACTAAGACTGTAAATAATTACTTCTTTCTTCTGCTGCTCCTTGAGAAAGCTATGAGTTACAACAGAGGAGGAACTAGAGTTGGTCATAGAAGAGGAGGGCCCAAAAATGGACGTTGGGAAAAAGAGACAGTAGGGGAGACCTACTTTTTTTTCTTTTCTTTTTTTTGCAGTAGCCACCATGGGGATCTGAAAGGCAAAGAAAGATATCCTCCCACTTTCACCCTTCCAAGAGCTAGAACTTCAAATTTAGAATGAGCTCCTCAGTGGGGGTCTCCACTCTTGTATTTAATATTTATCTCTAGCTAGTAGGTGTCCAGTAAACTTTTCAAATTCTAGATATAAAACTCACTGGAAAACACACACAAAGTTAAGCACTTGTGCAGGTGATTGCAGGTTTGGAGTCTTTTTTTAACTGTACCTTTAACTCAGCATTAACCTATTTAGTTTTTTGCATCAAGATATTAGAATGGGGGAAATGTTAATGCCACTTACAGTGCTGTACTAATTGTGTGCATTAACGGAGACTTCAGTTTCCAAGCACTACATTTCCTATAAAAAAAAATCTTCCAAGGGGATTCCTATTCATATGCAATATCTTGTTCTAAAGTAACTTATCACTGAAAAGGCAATGTTCAGGATTGTTGGATCTAGACAATTCCTGCAGTGTGAACAGGAATTTGAAAAAAAATCACTAAACTCACTGACTGAATATACAAAAGCAGAACTGTTAAATAAATAACTGTTTTTACATGGCTGCTTTCTTGATAACTGCACTTGAACTACTATGCTATTTTTTCACAACTGTTGCACAAGATAAAAACAGAATGTTTAACTTTCAGTGCAGTTCATTTTTATCAGAAGAGTGCAACTGTGGAATGAAAGACAGGCTGGCCTAAGATTGCTGTCAGAAATACAAGCCAAAATTTGAGAAAATTCAGTGACTTCAGGAATTATATTGAATTTACACCATTGTTATTTGCTCAGACTGTGTACAATTTGTTTCTGGTACACTAGTTTAATACTATGGACAAAAAGAGTACTCTATTTCAATGGGTCTACTCAACATAACTAAAGTGAAGCATGTACTTTGCATGGCATTGACCTGAAATTAGTTATACAGAAAGTTGGGAAGTTCTTTTGCTTATTGCTGCAACAGTAGGCACTGTGTAGGGGAACATAGTTTATTCTTTAAAGTAAAAATATCTACAAGGTATTCATTCTTTTCAATACTTAAGGAATAAGATGTGCCAGACAGGGCCACACACATGCTAAATCATTTTTAAGGCCTGACAACCTGGACTTGGTTCTTTGAAAGTTTTCACCTGTGCGGAGGCAGGTGCACATATCAGAGTTCCCATACATCAAATTACAAACATGCAGGGGAAAATAAAGTAAAAGTAGTATTTTATGACACAGGTCTGGTTCAATCAGGGTCTGAAACTGGTATGATGGTAGTTTTAAAAAAGACAGTTACAACCACCCGTGGACTCTGTCTCTCTTTCCAAGCCAAGTTAAAGGCGTAAACCCGGAACTGACCCCTTCTTCCACCTCACCAAGCTAGGAGCGGCAGCTTGGTGTTTGCACACCACATCCCAGCTTTACTCGTACAAATCCACCTCCTTAGGGAGACGTGTGAAAAGGCAACCTACAGTCAATATGAAAAACCCTCAGCGCTATAAATCAGCCACGTGGAGCTGTCGCTGCGGTGACTTCCTGCTTCAGATCATTTGAGCTGTTGGGTGCAGCTCAGCAGGGAAAAGACAAGACAAGCAGCAGAGGAATCGGGGCAGTTTAAAGGGTAGAGGAGGGGAGAAAAAGTTTGTGCCTGCAGCACGGTGACGGATTGAGCAGGGGCGGCAGCAGCCGGTGGCGGAGGGAAGGCAGCAGATCAGCAGCCAGGGATCGGGGTAGAGCTAAAGAGAGGAGCAGCAGCAGCTGAGAGAAGGCGGCTGGAGCGAGTTGCAGCAGGAGCGGGGGGCGCAACGCCAGGCGCGGGCTGAGAGCGGCGTGGGGGAGCCGAGCCGAGCCCGGCTCCGGGCTGGGGAGGGAGTAGCTCAGGAGGGGCCGAGGCGGGCGGCGGCGGGGCAGCGGGAGTGGTAAGCGGTATCAGGGCGTAGCGCCGGGGGCCCGCCGGGGCTCGGGCCGGCGGGGGAGGATGCGGCTGAAGCCGGGCTTTCTGCTGCGCGCCGTGCTGCTGGCGGGCAGCTTCCTGGGGCTGCTGCTGCTCTGGTCCTCGCTGGCCCCCCGCGCCGAGGAGCCGAGCCCGCAGGGCTGGATGCGGGTGAGTGAGCGCTCCGGCGGGGCGGGGCGGTGTCTCCCCCAGTGCGGGGGGACGGGGAGGGGGTGTCTCGCGACCCGCCCAGTCCCCTCCATGGGAGGCGGCTGCTCCCGGGAGCCCCCCCCCCTTCGCCGGGCGGCGGCTGGTGCCCAGGCTGCGGCCTGTGGCGTTTGAAGGCCCGACCGGGGAGCTGCGGCCCCGGGCAGAGGCTGCTGCGGCCGGCATGGGCAGCTGGGCTTCTCACGGCGCCCCTACGCCCGGGCACCATGCCCAGCCGTTCCCGCTGCAGAGCACGGGTGGGGCGGGCTTCCCCATGGCGGCCACCCCGGGGATCGAGCCCCGCTGGGCGCCCAGCGCCCCCGGGCCTGCCTTGACCCTGTGGCGCCGGGTAGGGGGAGTCCCTCCCGTCCGCCCCCGAGGCGGCCGATATCGGTGAGGGGACCCTACAGCCCCCCGGTGCAGCGGTAGCCTACCCCCAAGAGGGGCTGGTTTTGGTGGGTGTAGCTCTCTTCTTCCCCCTCCCGGGGTGGTGGTGGCGGCGGCGGCATGCAGCGCCCACTGACGTGTCTTTGAGCAAACCTAGGGAGGATCAGGGACATTCAATTGAGAAGGGAGACGAACAGGAGCCGAGTCTGTATCCTGCACTCACCGGGTTCATTAGAGCGACACTGACCGCCCACAGGCTTTGGAAGAGAGGGGAAGGGCTATGTTGTCCTGCGCCCGCCGGTGGTAGGAAATGCCCTGCCTTCTTCTGCGAACTAAGTGGCAGGAGCAAGAGCTGTACAGGACTAGCTATAGTTAATGAGTTTCAGTTGGAGGCAATCTTTTATATTCAAAAACAATGCCCTTACCTTGTTCGTTCTGGGTAAGAGAGCACTGGCTCAGGTATATGCTTTCACTGCAGTAAACAATAGCTTGAACTGTGATCTCCTAATTGTCAAACACTTGATATACATCTCAGCCTCGGTACTTCTGGTAGAGGCCTTACACCTCTGTATTCACTCCCTGGGAAAATGCATATAATAATCCTGGCCACTTTTTGTAAAAGATACAGATTGCACCGTTTTTGCCTAGGCCTTCCCAACTGATCTAATTCCTAACTGACTGGTTGGATTAAAGGCACATTTTGTCATAGTAAGATAATTAATGTCTCAATTTAAACTTTGTAAGGTGTCCAGATACCCCATGATGCTTACGTTTTACCATGTATTAATAAAACAGTACACATTTTCTTCTTTTCCCCTTTTCACAAACTTTCTTCCTTCTCCTGTGATGTGGTAGCTCTCATCTCAACGGCCCCCCACAGTGCTCCACCTATTACAGACAGGAGCATTTGTGATGGAGACAAGAGGAGCAGATCCAGCAGGAAGAATAACATGAAAAGCTCTTGCTGCTAGCATGATAGAAGTAGTTGGTGTGGGGGTGGCAGAACAGACCTTGTTCAGGGCTACAAGTCCCCACAGTGGAACAGTAGAATGGCCTTTGATATCTAGAACAACTGACTGCTATTCTAATAGAATTTTGTTCTTAAAATATTTCTTACCAGTAGCTTGTAAAAATGCTATACTGAAGAGGTCTGAGAAACAAATGTACATGCTCCCCAACTGCATGTGTTACTACAGCATTACTGCAGTTGAGAATAAACTGACCTGCCCTTGACTGGATTCGCAGTAGGTATTTCTATTTAGATCATATCTTGTAAGTGCTGCTCATCATGCTGAGGTTGAAAAGCTAAGTTTAAAGTAATCTTGGAGATCTTGCTTTAACCCACAAAAGCAAGCAAGGAAATTTCATAGTTAAAACTAAAAATCTGAAATGACATTCTGACTTTCACTCATGTGGTGTTTGGCTTTTGTAGCTGAACACTTTGCATAATAACCAAGAGAAAGTTAGTTTGTATAATTCTTAACTTGTGAAAATTAGTAGGCTCTTTCAAGAGATGTTGCTATCTTTTGAAACTTGTACAGTTTGTTGAATCTTGGCAGATATGGTTGAGATGACGGATTATAATGCTCCTTTGGAGTTCTCACGGTTGATTAGAAAACTCATTTTCTAATTTCTGATCTGTCCTTCTAAAACACGTTTTTTGCCTGTACAATAAACCCATGTTTAAAATCTTTAGAATTTTTACTTGCACATGAATTTTCTTGTCTGTGACATTTCAGTTTAAATTCACTAAAATCATTTATTTTTAGTGCTTATGAAGGGTGTTAGACTTGACAGCTGTAGAAACTCAAGTCGCCTAAAAGAATAGGCAAATCATAGGTAGTAGTTATTGAGAGGTAATGCAGAGTATATCCTCACAGCAAGGGAAAAACCCATAGGTGGGCTGTGCCCACTGGCTTGGGCTTGTGTGCCTTGGGCTGCAGGGCTGTTTCATTGGAGCCTGAGCTCTGGGACCCTCCTGCCTCAGGGGTTCCTAGAACCTGGGCTGCAGCCTGAGCCAAGAAGTACACAGCAATGAAACAGCCTTGCTGGCCGAGCTCTGTGAGCCCGAGTCAGCTGGAACAGGCTGTCTAGTTGCAGCTTGAGGTGGCTCCTACTGATCACTATTGAGGTGCACTCCTGATGTGAAGAATCTTGCACTATCTCTGTGTGCCTGTATTGATTAAAATAAGGACTGTAGTGTAATGAAACTGCCACCTTTCACAAACACTGAATTCACTCAGCTAAAATGACAGGTTTCAAAGTAGCAGCCGTGTTAGTCTGTATCTGCAAAAAGAACAGGAGTACTTGTGGCACCTTAGAGACTAACACATTTATTTCAGCATAAGCTTTCGTGGGCTACAGCCCACTTCTTCAGATGCACAGAGTGAAACACACAGACAGAAGATATTTATACATACAGAGAACATGAAAAGGTGGAAGTACGCATACCAATCGTAAGAGGCCAATCAATTGAGATGAGCTATCAGTAGCAGCAGAAGAAAAAACTTTGAAGTGATAATCGAGATGACCCATAGAAGGTGTGAGGAGAACTTAACAGGGGAAAAAATTCAATTAGTGTAATGACCCAACCATTCCCAGTCTCTGTTTGGACCTAAGTTAATTGTGTCTAATTTGCATATTAATTCGAGTTCAGCACTCTCTCTTTGGAGTCTGTTTTTGAAGTTTTTTTGTTGTAAAACTGACACCTTCAA